TATTCCAAGAGGAAAAGTCTTCTTCTTACTCACTTTGTCCCCAGGTGTCAGCAGAAAGTTCCAGAGCCTTTAACTAGCTAACCATCTGTTGAGACCTCATTCACCCTGGTAACATAGAGAACATTCTGTACATTCATGCCGTGTGTGTGTGTGTATGTACGTATGCATGTTCACACGTGAATACAGAGAGAGAGGAGAGAAGGAGTGGGGCCCCATTCAGACCTGGCCTCACATCAGACTGGAGGATCCAAACGTAGACAATGTTAAATATGATTGTTTATATTTAGAAGACATTCAAAACACGTGTGTGTTATTGTAAAAACAGTGACTCAGATCAGATCAGATCTGGTCCAGACAACACTGTCTTTAAACTCATTCACAGTGTGTTTATGTAGTAGAACAAAATGTGTTTGTGTGTGTGTGTGTGTGTGTGTGCATGGAGAGAGAGTGTTCTCACACTGCTGTGGCACGACTCTTAACCACTTCTTAGAAACTATGTGACAAACAGCAGAGGCTGCAGTAACTGTAAATCTTCTAAAACTTGTGCTGAATTGATATAAACATAATGTAAAAGCTGCAGTGGGTCAGAGGAGGCCAGCTGAGGAGGCGGACCCTGATCCTCCCCGGGTTAGATTGTTTTCGTGCACGCTCAGGAATGTGGCCGCGTGCATCCCAAATGTGGTTCTGTGCGAAGATTTCAGCAAGAACCTGGGAAACGGTTCGCACCTGAACCGAGAGCCGCTCTCCAAATGAAGTCAGATCAGTCAGGACATGATGTAAATACCAGGTTTGAAACTGAAGGATCATGTGAAACAGTTCTGCCTTGAATCAGTGCAGAGTCCCGTCCACAGAAACAGGCTGTGCTGTGATAGGTCACACTGAGAGGCTACAGCAACAGGCCATTGTTCTTGGACCAAATATAGATGTTTAATAATTACAAATGCAGGCTGACATACTTAGAAGCAATTACTCAGTGACTAATATTACAGTGTGTCCTGAGGCAAAAACACTCACATAAAGGAAAAGAAAATTGTGTGCAAAACCTAATTTCAAGGAAGTTTGCTGCTTTCTCTAAAAATGCTAAAATAGCACAAATCAGTCAAATGATTGAAACAAAAAAACTGAGGCACGTACCAAGAGACGGGACAGGAGGCAGGCTTTATTGGGTCACATCCCATTTCATAAAAAACACATTTGAAATGAAGGAAGTAGTATGTAAATGGATTTTTTGTTCCTATTTTGTTTAAAAAAACCCACTAATTTGCAATCTGTGGTATTGTTTTAATCTTCTAAAATCTTTGTGATTAACAAGTTGATTTCTACACCTGACAGATCTGGACCGCAGGCCGGAAAGTCAATGAACAAACAATTAAAATCCACTTTTTGTAATATTTCTATTACAAAGTATTTCTATTCTGGAGTATCTTTGTAACAAATTTGATCTCATATTTGACTATTTTCTGCTGGAGCAGTAGTTTGACATTTTCTAATGTAACTAGATTTTTTTTATATTTCTGACCATGTGTTTATTTGAATTTCTGATCTCAGGTGAACTTTGACCCAGGTGTGACCCTCTTTATTTGCCTGACATCAAAGATGTAATGAAAAATATAATCAAAACATTAGCATGCCGACGAAAGTTGTTGTTTCGTATTCTGTGGATAATTTATGTAACTTTGCTGTTCTGTCGCCACCTTGTGTTTCCCAACAAAAGTACGTTCAGCTAACAACAAAGCAGAGAAAGAAAAACGACATATTTATTCCGACGCTTACTTTTAAAACTATTTAATAACTTCAAAAACAACTCTCCTTAAAAGTACAGTGATCCCTTGCTATAACGCGGTTTACTTTTCACGGTTTCGCAACTTCACGGATTTGCATCGTGCATTGTGTTCTGCATTCTGATTGGCTAAAAAGTCACTCCGCTTCTTCTCTACCTGTGCGCCAATAACGTTGCGGTTTAATATGTACACGTACGTAAAACAGTTTGCCAAATTGACATTACGTACGTGCAAATTCTCTTGCAATTTCGAGTTTATCAAACCCCATAATGTCGACAAAACGCTCTGGACCGGCAAAAGTACCTGCGGTAGGGACCAAAAGGCAGCGGAAGATGCTGTCTATCGGTGATAAAGTAAAACTATTGGACATGCTAAATGAAGGTAAAAGCTATGCGGCTGTAGGTCGGCATTATGGAATTAATGAATCTTCCGTTCGTTCCATAAAGAAGGAAGAAAAAAACATAAGGAAGACAGCAGCAATAAGTTTTAATAAGGATTCAAAAAGGGTTGCAACTGCCCGCAACAAGACCAGGTAATTTGTATTTTTTTCATAATCATTTTTAATTTTCTCCCGTTCACGGTGGGCGGTGCTAATCTCCGCAATTTGAAGCCTTCTGTTCACGTTGATGATTAAAATTATTATTTGACAGTACATTACAGAAGTTATTTGTTGAAACGTTTCTAAAGTACTTTTATTTTACTTTATTTGTGAAACAAATGGTTGAGACTGTAAAATGGTTTGTTCGTTCTTTCTCTTCTTTTTCTGAGTATTTAATTGTAAAAAAAAATTAAGATTTCTACTTCACGGATTTTGCCTATTACGGGTTCTTTTTGGAACGTAACCCCCGCGAAAAACAAGGGTTTACTGTATTCTGTATTATCCCCATTCACACACACGTACTCGTTCACACACACACACGTGTGTGTGCTGTAGCAGACTGATTTCTGTCAACCAATCAAGCTCCATTTTCCGATCAAATTAATTCCTTCTAATTTGGGGCTTCCAGTGGTCAACCCCCTGTGGTGCTGTAACCGAGCTCTGTCTGTCTCTCTGTGTGTCTCACACACACACACACACACGTGTGTGCATGAAGTAGGGAGCCCTACACAATAGATCTTAATTGAGAAGACGGACTGCAATCAGCTCATTCTTGGAGGGAATCATTAAATCATTTCTCACTCCCTTCTCCTTTTCTCTTTCTCCTTCTCGTGGTGATTAGCGTGGTAATGATAGCATCCAGATTATGTCCATCAGAGAACCTGACATCTGTGCTTCACTATCGTCGCTCCTTTTGATGAGGAGATTCAAGATAGATGGAACGATGAGGGGAAAAGAAAACTGTGGAGTTACTGCAGATTATTAAGGAAATCAGTGCAGGTTGTGTTTGAGGAGCAGACACAAAGACAAAGAGCAGAGGGTTGGGTTTTTTATTTAATTTTTTATTTAATTGCATGTTTTTAATTTATACAGGTAGTACTATATATGGAACTAAACAGGTTCATGCAGTAGTATACAATTCTGTATTATGCTGAAATACTAAGACTATTTTACTTCATTGTACAGTGCATTATTATACTATTCTGTACTGTATTGTAGAGTACTACTGTAAACCATACTGTTTTTAGGATCATTATATAATACAATATACATTATACATTATATTAAAACTAATACTTTATTCTATACTATACTTATTGTCCTATACTAATAGTATTATAGTGTACTGATTTATACTTTTTCTTTGCTACCATACACTAATATACATACAGTGTTTTAGTGTTTATATGTTTATATCAATATTATATTCCATCAAACTAAACTAAACTCCATAGTTTTTTACACTATTTTAAACTGTAATGTGATTTGCTCTAATGTCTTGTACTATGATCAACAATACTCTACTCTACTATACTATACTATACGATACTATATTTTGCTGTACCATACCATACCAAATAGGCTACTTAATGTTTTTAGTTTCAGTTTCAGCCACAGTCTTTTGACTTGTAAACGTGTAAAAGTGATAGAAAGTCATTTTACGATCTCCGCCAGACTTGGACGTGACTTTTTCTGACGTAACATGTTCATCTGTAAAGCTTCACTTCAAAACAAACTTGACAAAAAGTGTAGTTTTTTGTTGTTGTTTGTTGTGCGTTAGGCCTGCGCTCCCTTCC